GGCCCCCCCCCCCCCCCCCCCCCCCCCCAAAGCAGTCAGATTGTGCAACCTGTGGAGAAGTCCTCGCCGCCGCCCAGCTCATCCAGGCCCACCACATAGTCAGTTGTTTTCTCGTGCTTGATGACCGCCACCGTGGGCAGCATCCAGATCTTGAGCCGCTCTGAGGGGCGCAGGCGGGGAGCGGTGGGGAGGTGGGAGAGGCAGGAGGGGCGGCAGGGGGCGCGGCAGGAGGTGAGGGCAACAGCGGTGGTGTCAGGGGCACTGGCGTTGGCAGGAAGCATGCATGGGGCGTGGACTGATGCAGAAAGCCGCCGCTGCCCGCTGCTGTCATTCTGGCCCAGGCCTGGCCCGCCCCAAACGCACCTGTGAGGAAGGGCGCCTTCTCTGCGTGCACCTTCACAAACTTGGTCTCCATGTGCTTCCCCGCCAGCAGCGCCAGGTGCTTGTCCATGACCTGGCAGGGCAGCGAGGAGCGGTAGAAGTGCGCCACCATGCGCTCCTCCCCCTTCATCTCCTGCAGCGGTTGTTTGGAGCAGGGAGTGCGACCAGGGAATGTGCTGTCTTCAACGCAGTCCGAGAAATGCAAGTTTGAGATGGACGCAGGAGCTTCCCGCCCGCTGCATGCCACGGATGCATGTTGCCGCTGCCACGTGTACCGCACCTTGAAAAACTCCTTCTCCTCCACCTCTCTATATTCGCCATGTCCCTTGCGCGCCCATTCTTGCCGCTTTTGCTGCAGCCTGCAGCAGTGAGCACGGTGCAGGCGCTCAGCGGCGGCGGTGCAAGGCGGGTGGCGGCGGGTGGCGGCAAGTCACAGTCAGATGCCCCCTACCGCTTCAGCTCGTCTACACGCTTCTGCCGCAGCCGCTCCAGGTCGTCGTCGTCCATGTTGTCGAGCTTGTGGAGCTCGTTGTCTATCTGCGACTCCATTTCCGCCGCCGCCCGCAGCACCTGCTGCTCTATTAGCTGCTGGACCTGCTGCATGGCTGCTTAAGCTGCTGAGGGACGGCTGGGGAGGTGATCAGCCCGATCAAAGTGGCGGGGCGGTTCGGCTTTTGGATCTGTGTGTCAAGTGAGCGATCGACAAGAGCGTCATGTGCAAATTGGAGGCAATGCAGACGGCGCTGCATTGCTCTACCCTTCACCAGCGGGAGGCCTACGTGGCATTTGCGCTTAAACAACGCTCCATCGCATTGCGGCACATTGCAGACTCTCGGGCGTGGCCTAGCAAGGCTTGCGGAGCCACCAGCAGCGATTCAGCAAGGGCGGTGCCCCGCTCTCTCAGCTTGGGAGCTGGCGATGCCCTTCGATATCACACACAGCCCGAGGGAGGAAGGCGCAGGTGTGTCCGCCCACTCCAGGTGTTGGCTAGGCGTCGGCGGTGGCCCACCCGACGAGCGCCGTCCCGCACCGATCCCCGCCTCTGCCGTCCGCACCTTGACCTGCAGCCGCCTTGGACCTGGATGAACACCCAGACACTCAACGCTTCCTGCAAGTGCTGGAGGAGCTAGATGGGCTGCCGCCAAACGGCGGCGAGGAGCGGGCCGACCGCCAGGCAGCTCGGGGGCTCTTTCGCTGGGAGGTGCGGGGCAGGGCCCTGTGCTGCTCAACTGATGAGGCGTGTGCCCTGGCGTGCTCCCCGGTTTTGGCTCCCCTAAATTCTTGGATTAACAATCAGAGAGGAGAGGGCGCAATCGGTGGCTGCCGCGCTGCCCTGGCATGCCAGCAGGACGACGTGTTTGTGGCGAGGGCGCCCGGCCGCCTGGATGTGATGGGCGGCATTGCAGACTACAGCGGCTCGCTGGTGCTGCAGGCAAGCTGTCGGCCTGCTGGCGCGCAGGGCCTGGCAGGGGGCGTGCTGGCGCTGGCCTGCTTTGCTGCATGGGTGGCGCGCTTGCGGGGCCAGCAGCTAGCTCGGCAGAGCCAGCGAGCCGCCAGGCCACATGTCTGTGAGAAGCTTCCCTGCTGCGCCCCGGCCGCAGATGCCGCTGGCGGAGGCCTGCCACGTGGCCCTGCAGCGGCACCCGGCGGCGGCTGGGGAGGCGCAGGAGCGGGCGCCGGCGGTGCGTGTCGTGAGTTTTAACGCCGGGGCCGCCGATCGGGCGCCTGCCTTTGAGGTGGAGCTGGCCCAGCTGGTGAGCGCGCCAGGGAAGCCAGCAGGCACTCAAACGCATGTGGGGCCGGTGCTTGCTGGGTCCGATTGCAGCAGCTGCCCGTTAATGCACACTGATGCTAGTAGCTAACATGAACTGCTGCGACCGTGGCGTGCCCGCCCGCCGTGCAGCTGCCAGGAGGGGAGCCGCTTGGATATCCAGAGGCTCGGGCGCTGCTGCGGCGGGACCCCTCCCTCAGCTGGGCGGCCTATGTGGTGGGGGCACTGGTGGTGTTGGCACAGGAGCTCGGGGCACGGTTTGCTGATGGGCTTTCCATCCTGGTCTCCTCGGGTGAGTTGCCTGCGAGCGGGGCAGGCTGCCTGCCTTTGCAAAGCCTGTCGCTGCATTTGCCGGGAAGCAGTGACAATGGCAGCTGGAGGTGAAGCCCCACCACACACACCACACAAAACGCACGCGCACACCCTCCTGTGCAGATGTGCCCGAGGGCAAGGGCGTGAGCTCCTCCGCCGCCGTGGAGGTGGCGGCGATGTCGGCGCTAGCGGCGGCGCACGGCCTGCGCCTGGACGGCCGCACGCTGGCCCTGCTGTGCCAGAAGGTTGAGAACCACGTTGTGGGTGAGGCGCGCCTTGCTGTGTGGCTTGGCGTTTGGTTCGGGCGTGCTATCACGTGAGGGAAGGGGAGGGGACACACTCGTGTAGCCACTGCTGCCGCTGAGCTGCACAGGCGCAGGTGCTGCAGCCCTGTGTGTATCGCTGCCACCGGCTGCCCTCCTCTTCAGCCGCCCGCTGCCTCCTCATCGTCTGTTGCGCACGTGCACGTCCTCTGCGCCGCGCACAGGCGCCCCCTGCGGCGTGATGGACCAGATGACTGCGGCGCTGGGCCGGCGCGACCGCCTGCTGGCGCTGCGCTGCCAGCCCGCCGAGGTGCTGGGCGCGGCGGCCATCCCGCCCCACCTCCGCTTCTGGGGCGTGGACTCCGGTGCGCTGGGAACGTTGGGAACGCCTGCCGGCCAGGTGGCCGCAGGTTTTTTGACGGGACTGGAATGGGGGAGGCGATGGCCGGGGCTGGTTCCCAGCGGCTGCAACGTGTGCTGGATCCCCCCGCTGCCACCGCCGGGGCGTGACCCGCCCGCGGCCGCCTCCTCTCTGGCCTGCAGGCAAGCCTCACAGCGTGGGTGGTTCTGACTATGGGCGGGTGCGGGTGGGGACCTTCATGGGGCTGCGCATTGCCAGCCAGCTGGCGCATGAGGCGGCGGGCGGCGGCGGGGAGGCGGCCCCCATAGGTGGGAGCGCACAGCATGCCACCTGCAGCGCCGCGCCGCGACCTGCTGGGCTGCTGGGCTGCGCACACCACGCCCCAGGCGCGGCCTTTGACGCAACTCCTTCCACCTGCCCTCGGCTTTCGGCGCGCCTTGGTGCTGCCCGACTCTCTCCCATCCCGGTTTTGATCTGCAGGCGGCGGCTACTTGGCCAACGTGCCTCCCAGCGACTTTACGTGGCGGTACGAGGGGCAGCTTCCCGAGGTGATGGAAGGTGCTACCTTCTTGCAGCGATACGGTTCCCACTGGGACTATGCCACTAGCGTGGATCAGGCGCAGGTGGGCCGGGCGCAGCTTGCCGGCTGGCTGCTGCCACATGGCCGCATCGCCGCTGCCTGCCTGCCTGCCTGCCTGCCTGCCTGCCTCATGGCATTCCCTTGACGCGCCTGCTGTGCTGCAATGGGCACCTGCCACACCTCCCACGCCTGCCTGCCTGCCTGCCTGCTCGGCGTCGCCCTCCCGCGGCGCAGAGCTATGCGGTGCGCACCCCAGCCGGCCACCCGGTGCACGAAAACTTCCGGGTGCATGCGTTCAAGCAGGTGTGTGTGTGTTTGTGTGTGTGTGTGCGTGTGCGTGATAGGTGGGGAGGCTGCTCAATGAGTGCTTGTGAAATACGTTGTGACAGCCCGCAAGCAGGCAAGGAGGCAAGCATGTGCATGCTGCTGGGCTCGCTGCGTGGGTTTTTTTGTTTTAGGTGCTGGCCGCGCCCGCCGACGGCGGCGAGCAGCTGGAGGTGCTCGGCGAGCTCATGCGGCAGTCGCACGTCAGCTACAGCCGCTGCGGCCTGGGCTCGGGTGCGCCGGCTGGACCTGCCGCCCGCCTGCGCCGCCTGCACGGCAGCGTGCCCAGCTGTGCCACCGCCTGCTGCTGCAACGCCAAGTAACATGTGTCCCGTCCACTCATTCGCCGCATGCATCTGCCCCCTGGCCTCTGCTGCAGACGGCACCGACCGGCTGGTGGATCTGGTGCAGCAGGAGCGCGGCGCGGCGGCGGCACGAGGCGAGGCGCCCGCCGTGTTTGGAGCCAAGATCACGGGCGGCGGCTCTGGCGGTGAGGCAGCGGCCCTGCCCTGCTGCCGCTGGGATGCCACCAAGCAGCCGCATGTTTGCAGCAATTCAGCCATAGTGAGCATCTCCTCCCGGTGCATGCAGGCACAGTCTGCATCCTGGCGGCAGCGGGGCAGCGCGGCGAAGCGGCAGTGCAGCAGATAGTGCAGGTGCGGCGGTGTGCGGCTGCTTCCCTTGTCCTGCCTTGGCTGGGAATCTTCTAGCACCATCAATCCTGCCCACCACCACCATCCCCTCCTGCACTTCATCTGTTGGGAGGCCTCGGTCTGTCTGCCCGACCGCTCACCCCACCTACGCCCCTCCCGCTTGCAGCGCTATGCCCAAGAGGCTGGCTTTGCTCCCAAGGTGTTCCAAGGCTCCTCCAGCGGTGCAGCAGAGTTTGGCCACCTGCGGCTGCGGCGCAGGCGGTAGCCGGAGGCCTCCAATCCCTGCCGTGCCGCTTGCCATGAGCCTGGGCTGGAAGGATGTGTTGGGCTGTATTTATTTGACAGCATTCATTGCAGCCATGCCGACAGCATTCATTGCAACATGCCGAGCCTGTGCACCGCTCTCGGCCCCCCTAAGGACACAGAACAAATCAAAAATGGCAACAAGTGCGGCTGGCAAGCAGCCCACTCTCTCGTTTCCAGCTGCTGGCCCGTGTGCCCATCTCTAAATGCTCGAGGGCCGCCAAAAACTGTCTTCATTGGTCGTCTCAGCTGATGGGCCGCACCTTGCCCTGGCGCCACCAGCCCCATCCGCGCGCCCTGCGCTCCTCAACCTCCCGCCTGCGGCGGCAGCCAGCCGGACCAGGCACTCAGCCCTCACTCTCCCCAGAACTGCCACCAGGGCTTGCGCCTGTACTGCACAGCCTCCTTCCTGCAGAAGGATGCAGTGCCGTGAACCCATGCAGGCAGGCACAGCTGTCTCCCACACCATTGCAGGTCTCAAAGGCGGCAGCAGCAGCAGCAGCAACGGGGGCCCTGGCTCGTCTCAGCCCAGGCCCCAGCCAGCAGCGCCATTCACCTGCAGGCAGCAGGTGCGGCGGGCAGGGAGCCAGTCAGAAGACCTGGTACCGCTCAATCAGCTCAAACCAGCGCTCTATCGTGCGCAGCGTGGCGTCGTGCCGCCGCCTGCAGCATGCGCCATCGGCCGGCGGGCAGGCTGCCTCCAGTGCACTGTTGGAGCGTCTAGCAAGGAAACCGCAAGCAGCGCTGCAGCCAAGGCTGCCAGCCGGGCATCCAGACCATCGCACGCTCCCATCTCACTCGCCTCTTGCGCTGCTCCTCAGTCTCCAGCGCCCTGCCCGCTTTGCTGGCAGCGTCTTCCACGGCGCGCTTGGTCGCGTCCGCCGCCGCGCTGGTGGTGCTCTTGGCCACAGCGGCGGCCTCCTGCGCCTTGCCCCCCACATCGTGCACCGCCTCCACCGCCTGCTCCACCACCTCGCTGACCTGCATGTGTGTGTGGTGTGTGTGTGGTGGTGGTGGTGGGGGGGGTAAAGGCGAACACTGGCCAGGTGCAGCTGCTGCAAGCTCGGTTGGAAGCATACGTAGTCGCTGGTCGCAGGCGCAGCAGCCGGGATGAGACAGCAGTGCGCTGCAGGCGCTCCCCGGCGTGCCAGCGAGCACCGTGACGGCCCCATGCCACCCAACGGCCCCATGCAGCAAGCCAGTCGCCCACCTTGCCCTTCACGCGGCGCACAGCCTCCTTCCTCTTCACCTCATCCTTCAGCACCTCGGCCCCACCCCCCGCCATGAGCCACACCGCAAACACCAGGCCGCCGCCCAGCAGCAGCTTGCGCGCCACGCCGTTGAGCGCGCCCTGCACACCACGCCACAGCCAAGCCACCTTGCAGCAGCCAAGCACGGCACGTGCATGCTCCCGGCTGCCAGGCTGCATTCCTTCCCTCCCTCCACCCTGCAAGATCCATGCGTGCCCTCTCCCCTTCCAGAAGAGGCATAGCACTCCCTGCGCTGCCTCCTTCCTCTCCTGCCACCCACTGCTTGCCGCCCATGCATGCTCACCACGAGGCCGTGGGGCCGCGCCCCGCCGCAGTGCTGGTGGCGGTACTCGTGGAAGCGCTGCTCGGTGCCGTCTTTGAGCTCCAGGTACCCGGTCTCAAACAGCAGGCGGCGCAGCACCGGCAGGTCTGCAGCGGCGCGAGCGCGGCAGAGGTGAATAAGTTGGGGACATCGGGAGGGGTCTGGCCTGGCCAGTGCCAATTGGCTTCAGAAGGGCTATGTGTGGTAAGAAGAGTGGATGGATCAGACCGACGGACCGCAGGCAGGCAGGAGGGGAACTGGAAGTTGGGCGGGCACGGCGCTGTCGGGAGGCGTGGAGGGCGGCGCACCCGAGTGCTGAGTCAGCATCGCCTCCACCGAGCCCCAGGGGTACCTGCGCACCGGCCAGAACCTGCGGCAGGAGCATCGGCCAGCAGCGCAGGCGAGGCATTCACCCACCGCTCATCTGCGCCACCGCAGGCCCTGTGTGCCCCACCCCACCCAACCCTCTCCCACACCCCAGCAGCCCCAGCATGCCTCACCTGCCCACCTCCAGGTCCATCGTGTTGCTGCCGATGACGGCAAAGGGCGGGCCGTGACGCGCCCCCGCCTCCTCCAGCGCATCGTGGGAGAAGGGCGACTTCATGCGCTCGCGGCGCAGCCCGTCGCGCACGCGGTGGCGGAACTCCTGCGGGGCATGCGGAGGCCGTGGCGGCGAGCTGATCAGTTGGGACAGTTGGGAAAGAGCAGGCAGGCAGCGGCCGGAGCAGGGGGGTGCTCAAGATGGCTGGCAGGGCGGGCAGCGTGCCAAGGCATCACCCGCCGTCCCTCCCGACCCGCCCACCTACAACACTGGTGCTGGCAGCCCCTCCAACAACAGGACATGCAACACATGCACACACCTTGAGCTCCTCTGCCGTCATGGTGTCAGCCTTGGCCAGCACCGGCACCACCGGCACCTCTGCCGCGAGCTCAGACATGAAGCGCAGGTCGATCTGCGGTAAAATGGGAGGCAGTGGTAGGGCTGCTTCATGCTGGGATGAGATGTGAAGTGTAGTGACGGCAGCGTCTCGGGCGAGGCAGGCCGGCGAGCTGGCCCATGGTCGCGCCTGGCGCAGGCGGTGAGGCGGGATGAAGTAGAGGCAGACGTCCACGCGGGTGTCCCTGATGGCGTGCATGGCCGCCTTGCGGTCAGGGTCCTGCTCCTGCAAGGGCCACAGGCAGCGAACGGGGGGGCACTGCTGAGGGAGGCGGGGCGCCATGAATGCACGAGCAGGTGGGGAGATTTCTGGAGGGCAAGCAAACGCAGCCATCTTGATGACCAAGCCTCTCTGCCTGCCTAACCGCAACATGCATGCGGCGGAGGACAGCTGAGCCTGCTATGCCCTGCTGAATGCAGGGCACAACGCAAGCTCAGCTGCCTGCGCCGCACGCCCGGTTGCAGTAAGGCTGGCGGAAAGATATGGCCGCCAAGTGGCTAGCTCCCTTGCACAGCGCCGTCCAGCCTCCTCGAGCACAGCAGAGCATGCGAAGGAGGCACGGCAGGCGCAGCAGCGCTGAGCGGCGCCTGCTGTAGGCGCTGGTGCGGGCGACGCCAGCACAGTGGGTGGGCCGGCGCGCCTGCTCCAGGTAGCCGCAGGAGCAGTCTTGAATGTGGTCCAGGATCAAGCGGCGGTCGGCCGCCAGGTCAACAGAGTCGCCGTATCCTGCAGGACCAGGGGCGAGGTGGGCCACCCGGTGGTCGGCAAACAAAGAGGGATCTATCACCTGTCCGTCGGAAGCGGGAGATGGGAAGCAGGCAGGGCGGGAGGGGCGCGGGCGACATACCAACGAGATCGCTGCCGGCCGCCGCCAGCTCAGCGCCCCGAACATGTATGCTGACCTGGCGTGTCCTGCACGAGGTAGTGGTAGAACACCTTGTGCTCGCTGTCCTGCAGCACAATCTCGGTGCACAGTGCCTCCGGGTTGTCCTGGAAGATCTGCGGCGGGGCAGGGAGCGGCAGGCAGGAGGACGGGAGCGGGCAGGGAGCAACAGGGAGCAGGCAGATCAGCAGGGTTGGCGCTGAAGGGGCAACGGCATGCATGGAAGCACGCACGGCAGGGGCGCAGCGGTCGAGCGAAGCAGGTCCAGGCGGCTCTGTGTGGGAGAGCATGCACGGCGGCTGCTGCCCCGCCGCCGCAGACCGACCCGCGGCGCGTTGGGCACGGAGGCGTCGTTCACTGGGAAGGAGGCGTCGCGGGCGTAGGCGGCGAACAGGTTGCGTACAAAAGTCGTTTTGCCAAGCCCCGACTCGCCCACCAGCAGGATCTTCATGTACCTGCAGGGGAGGCGTGTGAGTGTGTGTGTGGTGTGCATGGGTGATGTGTGTGTGTGTGGCGTGGGTGGCGGAATCCACGCAAGCATGACACGCAGCAGAGGCAGGCAGGCGAGCGGGCACGCCGGCCGCGCTGCCACCGCACTTGTGCGTCCAGTGCGGCTTGATGCGGGGCAGGCCCGCAAAGGCGGCCCGCACATCCACCTCCCGCAGCTCTGCCACGGCCTCGTTCGGCGGCCGCACGCGCCCCTCCACCACCGCCGTGGCCTGCTTGCTGCTGGGCGGCGTGGCGGGGGCGGGTGTGGCGGCGGCTGCCGAGGCGACCGAGCGAGGGCGCACGTCTTGGGAGCGCTCGGGCAGCCTGCGCGGAGGGCGGGTGGGCGCTTTTGAGGGTCGCAACAGCAAAGGGCAGCATGCTCGGCCGTCGGCCGCAGGGCACGTGCAGCAGCCAGCCCGGCCACCACCGCACCCTGCCTCAGCGCTGCCGCCATTGGCTGCTGGCGGCACGCTGCCGCGGCTGGGCGGCGCCCACAGCTTGAGCTCGGGCGCCCTGCCGCCGTGCTTCTCCATCTCCTGCGCCCCGTAGCCTCGGCTCTCCTGCTCCTCTAGCTCGTACGCCTTGGCGTGCAGGTCGTCATGGTCGGCTGCAGAGTCCCTGAGGCTGGACGGGTGAGGGGGCGGGTCGCACTGCAGCAGCTCCTCCGCCTCGCTGCGCGTGGCGTTCAGCAGCACCCGTGTGGCATCTGTGGCGGCCATTGGAGGGCTAAAATGAAGGAACGAGGCACGCCAGAGGCCTACCACGCCGAAACCGGCCCATGCTAGCGCAGTTGGAAAGCGCAGCGCTGACTGCTGGATGCTGCATGAGTAGGCGGTTGCGCGGCAGGTGGAGCCCTGTTCTCGATTGCCTTGGAGCTTGCAGGCGCTCATGGCCTCGTGAAGGAGCTGAGACGCAGGGGGGATGGGGTCGGAGGTGCGATGCTTGTTGAACGGAAGGCTCGGCCCTGCCTGCTTGCCTCGAATGCCCGCCCTGCCCTCCTGCCTGGCCCGCAGAGTGGATCGCTGAGCGAGGAGCTCAGCTGCAGCGGCTGCTGGAGCCCCGCCGGTGAGGCGCCACCCGCCGCAAGCGGCGGCCGCCTTGCGGTTGCCGCCGCCGCCGCTGCCCCCAGCCCTGCGCAGCCACCAGCTGCTCCCCGCCTTCACAGCATTCATACCACGCTCACCACACTGCAGCGCCGGTCCCTCTTCCCCCCGCCCTGCAGATGGCTCGCCCGGCAGCGATGATGATGGGTCGGGCGGGAGCTGCAAGCTGTTCCTGTTCAACCTGGCGCGCAGCGTGACGGACGAAGACCTGCAGCCCTTGTTCGCTCCCTTTGCGCCGCTGTACTCATGTGTGGCGCTGGGCAAGAAGGGTGAGATGCAGGGAGCACCCAATTGGCTGCAATGCGACCGCGAGCCCGCCTCCCTTCCCGCCGCCCAGTCCGCCCTGTGCACCACCCACCCTCCCGCCTCGCTGCCGCAGGCACCAGTCGTCGCTTCGGCTTTGCCAAGTTTGGCAGCCAGGCGGCAGCGCAGGCTGCGCTGGACACGCTGCGCGGCACCCAGCTGCATGGCAAGGAAATCGACTTGAAGTTTGCTGTGGCCCTGGGCGAGCCCGACCCCGCGCAGGGCGTGGCGCCCAAGCAGCGCGCCAAGCTGCGGGTGGGTCGCTGATGCATGCTTTGGCATATTGGGGTCTCACGCGGCTGCGTGCGGGCCACAGGAACCGAGCATGCCACACAGCGGCAAGCACGGAAGTGTGCACATCGGTCACCAACTGACTCTAACATTGTTGAGACTGCTGCAGGCGGCAGCCTCTCAGGACGTCTCTCCACGAATCGGCACGGCTCCAGCCGCGCCAGCCGCCAGCACGAAGCCACCGGGGCCTCCTCCCTCTCTCCACGCACCAGGCGCCATGCCGCCGCCGCCTGGGTTTCTCGCCTTGCCTGCTGCGCCTGCCGCGGCTCCCGCGCCTGCACCGCCACCGGCAGCAGCGGTACCCACGCCGCCGCTGCTGATGCCGCTGCCGCCAGCGCCTGCTGCGGCGCAGCTGCAGCCGGCCGGCCCGGCAGCTGAGCGGCTGCCGGCAGCTGGGCCAGCGGCTCTGGAAGCGCCCCCCCATCCGCTGGATGCCCCGCCACCCATGCAGCACATGCTGGTGGTGCGCCACGCCCCAGGTGACTCCTCGTCTCCTGCTTGCCTGCCAGGCCCCTGGGGCCACTAAAAGCATTCATCCTGGCACACGTGCCAGGCCATGCACACTGCATTCATCTGACTTCTACCTGATCCCACTGCCGCAGGCCTCAGCCACGCCACCATCGTCCAGCTGGCGTGGTGCTTCCAACCCCTCAACATCAGCACCAGCGTGGACGCGGCAGGCGCGGAGACGGTGCGAGCGCCCACAACTCAGTGCAGGCAACTGCGCAGGGGCCTGCTTGCTTCCCCATGTTGCTTCATTCCCCAGTGGCAAACAGCCGCCTGCCTGGCCTCCTGCCTGCCTGCGCTGCAGTCCTCCCTGGTGTTTGGGCTGCTGCAGCAGGCGCAGGCTGCGCAGGAGGCCGTGCTGCGGCGGGGCGCGGAGGCTGGCTACACGCCCGCCTCGGGTCTCATCTCCATCCCTCTGCACCAGGCTGCCGCCGCCATCGGTGGCGCCCCTCCCGGGGCCCCAGACCCTCACCTTCCGCTATACGCTCCCAGCCCTGCTGCCGCTGGGCAGCAGCTGCTGGCGCAGCAGGGCCCGGCAGCCCAGCTGCAGCCCCCTCCAGCACGCCCGCCTCTGCCCATCAGGCCTGCCATGCAGCCGCCGCCTGCTGCGCCAGCACCAGAGCCGGCGGCGCCGCAGCTGCCCAGCATGCAGCAGCAGCGTGAGGCGGTGACCATGCGGCCGCTGTACGCGGGGCCTCGCCCACCGCACCTGGTGAGAGTTCACTGCTGCTGCTGCAGAGCCCTTGGCGAGCCTCCGCCACCTCCCTGGCCCTCCCTGGGGGATGTGCCGCATTAGATGGCTGGCTTCTGCCCCAGAATGTGCCCCCTTTTGACCACCCCTGCAGAGGCCGCCCTACCTGCTGCCGCCCGGCTACCCATACCCTCCATGGATGCAGCCAGGCCCAGGGCCCCGGCCCACCACTGGGCCGCCGATGCCTGGCGGGCCCCAGCCCGGTGCCCCCAGGCGCGCATGGCAGCACCACCATCCACTCGCCGTGGCAGCATGCTACCACGCCAGACCACCCACCAAACCCGTGCGATCGCTTGGTCTTCGATCCAACTCTCTTTGGCTGCCGCCGACCCGCTTGCTGCAGGCCGCCACCCTTCCATTACCTCCACCAGCCCGCCCCAGCCGCCATGCCAGCTGAGGGCCGCTTGCAGCCAGCAGCTCAGCCTGCTCCTGCACCTGAGGCCGGGCCTGGGCCCAGCCCCACCCTGCCAGAAACGCTCGAGAGCCCCGCAACCCAGAAGGGCCTCAACCCAGCTGCCGCCTCCTTCTCGCCCACCAAAGGCCGCGCAGCGCGGGCTGCCGGGGCGCAGGCCCAGCCCGCAGCCGCCTGCAGCGGCGGCAGCGGCGGCGCAGTGCCTCCCGTGGCGATGCCTCCCGTGGTGGGTATGAGGGGACACAGTGCATTGGGGCGAGCAGCGTGCCAAGAGACCGTGCCTGCCTCCTTGCCACCCTGCTTCTACCTCTTCCCCAACCCACCACAGACACCACCAACACATCACAGCACCGCAAACCAACACCCGCTGCGCCCTGTTCCCCTCACTTCCCAGAGCTCCGCCTGCCCTCTCCTCCCCGCCACCTTGCAGATCCACAGCATATTCAACAGCATAGAGGCGGCGCTGGCGGGGCGCTCCTTTGTGCCTGCCTGGGACCGACTGCAAGCAGAGTGCGCCGCCCACCCGGGCCGCCCGCTGGTCACGGCAGAGGCCGTGGAATATGAGTCGGGCACAGAGGGTGAGCGGGGCTGGCTTGGGTGGTTGGCGGTGGGCGGGCAGGCATTAGAGGCGGCACGGGATGGCTCACGCGGCGGTGTTTGTGGCTATGGCTTGGGTGGCGCTGTGGGCTGGCTTGGGTGGATGGCGGGGAGGCTTGCCAGCACAGCGCAGTGCCGTGCCCGCGCCCCAGCAGTTACTCCAGCGTTGAGGGACGTGGCTGCCGCCTGCTGCTGCCGCAGACGAGGGTGACTGTCCCCCTGATCCGAGGGAGGTGTTTGCCGCCGTGGCATCCTGCAACCTCAAGTGGGCCAGCCGCTGCCGCCGTTCTGTGCGCCTGCTGCTTGGGCAGCAGCCGGAAGGCGGGCGGCCACCTGCAGGGATGCGATGCACTCGCCTTGTCGCCGCCACCAAGCTTGCCAGTGTCATTATCTAATGTCAATTAATTTCTTACCTCTGCTTCATGCGCTGTTTCGTTACCGTGTGCCTGCAGCGCCTGCTTCGTCACGCGCAGCCTCATGCGGCGGCTGGCCCACGTGGAGGTGCTGCTCAAGGCGACGGTGGTGGGGGACCCGGGCGCCGCTCCCAGCGTGCTGGTCGGGGCGGTGGTGCGGGTGCTCATCGACAAGGCAAGCCCAGCTGCCGAGTCATGCTCACAGGCGTGCCATGGCAGTATCAACGGCGTCAGTATCCCGCCTGCTGGGGCCATGCTGTGAGGGTGTCCCCAGGGGCGCCCTGGTCCCAGCGCCTGCCACAGAGCCGCGTGCTGCCGCCGCCGACCCGTTTAGCTGCTTGCATAGGGATGAGCCGCGCTGCCGCTGCCGCTGCGCAGGCCTACAAGCTGCGCCAGGTGCAGTCCACCTTCATCAAGCCGGAGAGCGGGCGCCTCATGCTTGTGCTGCATGTGAGCTAGCCCGGCCTGGGGCCGCAGCTGCCGAGCAGCGGAACGCAGCCCTGCCAGGCATGGGAAGCTGTCGGCAGCAGCTGCTGGCAGCTGCCACGGCCCCTGCCGCAGCAGTCTGCTTCCGTCTCTGAAGCTCGTGCTCGCTGCTGCCCTGCGCCCCCGGGGGACTCTGCTGCCCGCCTCCTTGCCTGCCTGGGCCCCGCAGGACGTGAACAGCCCCATCCCGGCAGACCATATCTCAAACACCAACCCGCTGCTGCCCGGGGCGCCGCCCGGCAATGCCGCCGAGGGCGAGGTGCTGGAGCTGGCGGCCAAGCTGGCCTTCCACGGTCGCCGCCTGTTCCGTCACGAGGCGAGCGCTGCGCCTGCGCCTGCTCTGCACTGCCCGCTGTGGCCTGTATGGCGCCTGTGCCGTGCCTCAGCTTGGGTCCGCGCCTGCCTGCCGCCGCACCCGCAGGTCGCCGCCACCGCCTGGCGCCTGCAGTTTGCAGAGTACTGGGCCAAGGAGCAGGGGGCCAAGACCGGGGATGAGCTGAGGCTGGCCGCCGCGCAGCTGCGGGCGATGCTGGGGGATGAGGACGAGATCAAGTGGCGGCGCAGGGGCGTGATCGGCCTGGTGAGGCTGGCCATCCGCTGGCGCCAGCCTGGCCTGGCATGGGAGAGAGTGGCAGGCCGGCTGGGTCGGATTGAGCTCTCCTTCAGTGGCCCTGTATGGCCATGCTTGTATTAGCGTGCCTTCCATGGAACAGGTTGCTGCTGCGCTGCGTGATGCCTGCCTCTCGCTCTGGTGCGTGCAGGACCTGGCCCAAGAGGCGGCGGCGGTGGCCGCCGCCTTCCGCCTGCCCTGGAACGCCGCTGCCAGCTGGATGGCGCAGCAGGGCCCTGAGCTGGCGCCCGCGGCCTGCCCCCCAGGGGGCACCCCCGGCAGCTCTGACGTCACTGGAGAGTATCAGACCCGCCCACCCGTCAGTGAGGTGCTTGGCCCGCAGCACGATGATGCCTGCCGGGCTCCCGGCGGGGCCGCATGCCGCAGCCTGCTGCGGGGCGCGGCCGACCCTCGGCAGCACGCACGCTACATGGCGGCAGCCTATAGAGGCTGCAACCCTGCGCAGCAGGAGTGCGAGCCTGCGGCGCAGCAGGCGGCGCGACCTGGCGGCCAGCTGGCCTCACATGGCGCCCACCCCAGCGGGGCGGCAGCTGCGTCCGACAGCTCCAGCGCCGGCAGCAGCGCCACCGGCGCCAGCGAGGCTGCCAGCCTGGACGGCGGCGATGCCGCTGAGCTGGCAGAGGAGGAGGAGCGCCTGCTGGCAGAGGCCTCTTCCACCTTCAGCGGGTGGGCCTGCCGCTGGCTTGCATGCATTAACTGGCCTGCAATGATGCGCTTCTTGGCAGGCTGGGCCAACTCTGCGCCTTGTCTCCCACCACCTGCCTCTCCTGCCCTGCCTGCTGTTCAGAGCCGCCCTGCCCGAGTACTTTCCACCCGGCCTGGCAGGGCAGGGCCCTCGTCCTCCTGCCGCCTTCCCCAACCCGCACAAGCATGGCCCTGGCGGCGCGGAGAACAGTGACAGCCAGGCCCGCAGCGCTGCGGGCAGCATGGCCAGGGTGGCTGGCAAGGTCGCTGCGGTGGCACAGGTGGCGGCCTCTCTGGAGAGGGCCGGCAGCGGCCGCATCGCCGCGCTGCACACCCGCCAGTGAGCCTCGCAGGCACCCACCCATGGAGGCTGCACAGCACAGCACTAAGCACCCACAGCACCGAGCGCCTGCAAAGGCAGGGCCCAACTTTGGAAGCTCCATTCTCTCGCTTCAGTTACATGCTACAATCATCATCGCGCACCACGGCAGTGCATCCAGTCGATCCATCAGTCACTGATAAATAGTGCCAAAGCAGTTTTCCAAGTTCTCTGAGTGTCGCCCAATGGCACCAGAGCCATGCCCCCAAGTACAACACCACACACAGATTCCGCAGCGAAAAGAAAAACAGGCAGATGAAATTGACTTGCGACGGATTGGTTCTAATTAAACTTCATTCCTTCTGTAACCGAGCAACTGGCTCGTGGCCTTGCTGCAGCTAGAGTCGAGCGCAGCGGCAAGGGCTGCATGCCGCTTGTGAGCGACAGCATGGGCAGCCCCGCAGGCGCCCAGAAAGGCGGGCTTTTCAGCCCCCCAGCCAAGCGCCTCACACGGCGGCCACAGGGGCGCGGAACGACTCGACTATCTTCTGCAGTACCGGACCGTACTGCTCCACGTCAGCCCCCGCACACGAGGCGTTGACGGTGTAGAAGCGGTTTGTACGCCCGTTGTTGCCCACCGCCACCGCCTGTGGCAGGCCACGCTTCGTTTCCTTCAGAACAGAGTCGCAGCATTAAGAATACAGTCCAGGCTGCCCCCAGGGCTCTCAAGAGGTTCCCCACCTGGTACACCGTGCGCTGCGCCTCCCCCTCCTTGGCCAGCGTGTAGGCAAACATGTACTGCCGCTTGTCCACATCCTTCACGTCCAGCAGCTTTGCCACCTGCACACGCACGATCACATCAGTGCCGCGGGGTGGCCAAGGCGGGGCGTGTGGTTGCTGGTTGGAGGCGCATGGCCCCGAGGCAAGAGCGCCCCCATGGCAGCCCAGCCCCGCGCCCGGCGTGCGGCCCCGGTGACCTGCACAGGTGGCTCCTTGGCGCGCCGCCACTCGGGAAGCTTCAGGATGTAGCTGTTGTCCATTTTGTTGACCACGCCCGTGGCAAAGTCCTGGGCGGTACCAAAGGAGCCCAGCCCGGTGTAGTCGGCGCCAAGGAACCTGCGGGCGGCGCGCGGCCAGGCAACAGGCAACAGGCTGAGCCACGCCTGCCATCTGCCGGCGTGGCCATGCCGCCGCGGCTGGCCACGCTGCCGCTTTGGCGGCTGTGGCAGCGGCTGTGCCAACGGCTGCTCGCCCAGCTGCTGACGGTGGCAGCCACGCTGCTGCTGCTGCGGATGCTGGTGCTCGCCGGGTGCGGCGGCGAGGCACGTTCATGCATGCCCGCCGCCCGCTCAGCCAACAAGGTTCCGCCACCCGCATGCTTGCTGCGGGCGCCGGCGCCGCTCACTGGATGGTGACGGCCACCGACACCTCCGGCTTGTCTTCCGGCAGGAAGGCCACCACGCGGCGCAGCCCCGCGGCGTTGGAGAAGCGGGCCTGGTTGGTGGTCAGGGTGCCCTCCTCGCCAAACGCGCCGGTGGCCAGGGCCCAGCCTGAGGGCACCTCAATCGAAAATTTGTCCTCTGGGTCGGTGTATACTGTTGAGCCGGAGGAGGCGGCCGCGGCAGGCGCCTCGTCGGCCGCCGCCGGCAGCGGCGCCGCCGCGCCGCTGCCCAGCAGCACGGCCGCCGCGGGCGCCAGCAGCGACAGCGACAGCAGCTGGCGGCGGGGCAGCACGCTGCTGGCAGCCTCGGGCTTGGCGGGGCCCGCCGCTGCCGCAGACTGGCTGCCGCCCTTGCTGCCGGTGCTGGCAACCACAGAGGGTCGCTGGCGGCAGTGGCGGGCTGCAGGGACGGGCGGCGGCGGCGGCGGTGAGGCACCCTTCCAGCCCGATGCGCCCGGCGTCCAACCATGACACACAACATGCACACATGGGCAGTACCTGGCGTCAGGCCGGCCGCTGGGCCCGGTGCGGTGGCTGCGCAGGGCGCCAGGTTGTGGGTGTTTCTCAGCATACTGGGACCCTCGCAGCACCCCACTGACACAACCAGGCGAACGTAGAGTGTGATCGACGCCTGATTAGGCTGCTTGATGCAGAAAACCACGGCCTTTCCAGCGCGCCCGGGCGCCCTCGTCTCCTGAGCCCTTCCCCTCCCAGCTGCTGCGTTCACCGATCTCCGGTGACCTTGCGCAACTCGCCGGACACCTGGTGCCACCTTCTGAGGTCTCGGCGAAAGCCCTGCCCACCATGACGCGCCTGATCGCGGCCTGCGCGGCGCTGCTGTGCCTGGTAGCCACTGCCCAGGCCACCGGACCCTTGAAAGTCCATCTCCGCAAGCTCCCGCTGGTGGCGGAGCAGCGGCAGCACCTGAAGGACAAGCACCGCCTCGTGACGCTGGCGCCGGTGAGGTTTTGCGCCGCTTCCAACAGTCCCTGTATGCATGCACCCCTTCGCACAGAAAATCAGGCACACAATGCATGACACACAATCCATGGGCCGCTGTGGCGCTGTCCGCCCCTTTACCGCGCAGGCGGCAGAGAACGACGCCGAGCCCGTGCCCATCACAAATTTCATGGATGCCCAGGTGCAGTCAGCTGCAAGCGCCTTTTGAGGACAGCCTGGTCAGCATTAGCCATTAGACAGGCTGCAGCCAGTGCCTGCATCCACGCCCGCGGCCGCCTCCCCTCCCTCTTCTGGGGCGCCCCGCCCCGACCAGCCGGCCCGCCGCCCCGCCCCGCTGTACCGCCCGCCTGCCTGCAGTACTACGGCGAGATCGGGCTGGGCTCCCCGCCCCAGAGCTTCCAGGTCATCTTTGACACGGGCTCCTCCAACCTGTGGGTCCCCTCCTCCAAGTGCTCCTACCTCTCCGTCGCCTGCTACCTGCACTCCAAGTACTATGCCGAGCGCTCGCACACCTACAAGGCAAGCCAGGGAGGGAGGAGGAGGAGGGAGGAGGAGTTGGCAGCAGGCAGCAGCAGTGGCAGCAGGCTGCAGGAGGCGACAAGCTGGGGAGGCAGGGCTGGGGCGCGTGCGCGCACACGTGTCGCTGCGTGCCGGCCCGACGTGCGCGATGCAGTGGGCGGCCCGCCTGCTCGAACGGGCGACCCTCCTCGGCGCCGCGCTGCCCCCTCGCCTTCCCCGCCGCCTCCCCACCGACGCGGCCTCCTCCCCTGCGCCCTGCAGGAGGACGGCCGCGAGTTTGCCATCCAGTACGGCAGCGGGCAGCTGTCTGGCTTCCTGTCCCAGGACACGTTGAGCATGGGGGGCCTCAAGGTGGAGGGGCAGGTGTTTGCAGAGGCCACGATGGAGCCCAGCCTGGCCTTCATCGCCGCCCGCTTCGACGGCATCCTGGTGAGCGGTGCTGCTTGCAGTGGTGGTGCATGTGGGGTGGCGGCGGCCTGCGACAAGGTCAACGCTGCGGAGCGGAAGGCAGGCCGGGGGCTGCTCCGTGCGTGTGGCGCAGCGAAGCGGTTGGCTGGCTGGCTGCGCCGCCCGCTGCCTACTTCTGTGCGACCCCCCGCCTCCCCGCAGGGCATGGGCTTCCCCGAGATTGCGGTGGGCAAGGTGACGCCGCCGTTTCAGAACATGCTGCAGCAGTCGCTGCTGCCAGAGCCCGTCTTCTCCTTCTGGCTCAACCGCAAGGCACGCACGCCCCCCCTGCCTCCGGCTGCATGGCTGTGTGGTCCCTGCCCGCCTGCTTGTTGTTCTGCCCGCTGGATGTGCAGCTCTGCCCAATTAGCTGGCCGACTGCCTGCCTGCTTGGCTGCTTGCCTGCCTGCCTGCTCGCCTCTGGGCGTCGGAAGCCCAGCGCTCGGTGGCGCAGGGCAGGCACAGCCGCCGGCTGTTGCTGGGATCGGCGAGCAGTGTGTTGCGCCGCGCATGCTCCCCGCCTGCCGATGGCTTGCAGGTGGAGGGGGAGGAGGGTGGCGAGCTGGTGCTGGGCGGTGTGGACCCGGATCACTTTGTGGGGGAGCACACCTGGTGGGTGCGGCGGCGGGCTGGGCTGGGCAAGGCTTGCTGTCGTTGGATGGCAGGCCTGCGGCGAGGGATCCGGCCACGGCCGGCGCCCCTGGCTAGTGTGTGTGCTCCTGCCTCGAGCTCCGGCGGGCCACCCTGCCCCCCTGTGCTGCACCTGCTCGCTTGCAGGGTGCCCGTCACGCGCCGCGGCTTCTGGCAGTTTAAGATGGACGGCATGGAGGTGGAGGGCGGCGGCGAGTTCTGTAAGGGGGGCTGCCAGGTGCGCCGGGGAGGGGCAGCCTGGTGTCCAGCCCTGGGCTGGGCTGCGCCGGCGTGCCGCTGTGCCCGGCCGCCGGTGCCTGCTTGCGCCAGGACGGTCTGCAGCGAACACCCGGGGCTGCTGCCTGCTGCAGGCCATCGCTGACACCGGCACCTCGCTGCTGGTGGGCCCGCCAGACGTGATTGATGCCATCAATGCGGTGAGCTACCCACCTGCCAGCCAGCCAGCCAGCCCGCCAGCCAGCCAGCCGCACCTGAAGGATGCCTGCGCCCACACGGCTTGCGGGTCGACCACACCTGATTGCTGCAGTGTCGGCCAGCAGCGAGGAGCAGTAACACACGCAATGAGAGCCGCACGTGCTTGGCCCCGGCGCCTGCCCTGCTGCCCTGCAGGCCATCGGCGCGGAGCCGGTGCTGGTGGAGCAGTGCAAGGAGATGGTGCACCAGTACCTGCCCGAGGTACGGTGAGGCAGTACCGCCAGCAGTACAGTATTGTGCACTGCTGCCTCCCTGTCTCCATGTCACCTACACCTACCCCTGCGAGTCACCTGCCCGGTCTGCATGCGTACATCCTCGTCAACCCGGCCTGGCCCTGTGGGCCTGCCCTGCAGATCATCAAGCTGATCAACAACATGCCGCCCCAGGCGGTCTGCCAGTCGGTGGGCCTGTGCAGCGCAGCAGGTGCGCCCCGCGTTGTAATAACCGCTCGCTGCCCCCCAACGCTGCTCGGCCGATCCCCGCGCCGCAGGTCCCCTGCACCCTGCTTCCAGCACCATCGCGTTGCCAACACCCTGTGGCCGCCGCAGGCGTGGGCGAGGACCGCCGCGTGCTTTCCAAGAGCGCCCAGTACCGCCGCCTGCTCAAGATGTACGGCCAGCAGCAGGGCCAGGAGCAGCCGCTGGCGGCGGGCACAGGGGAGGGCGAGGAGGAGGCGCAGGCCGGCGGTGTGGGCGGCGCCGCAGCCAACGACAGCTGTGAGATGTGCCAGTTTGTGGTCCAGTACCTTAAGATCGCTCTGGCCAACAACGAGACCATGGCGCAGGTGTGGCTGGCCGGTTGGCGGGCAGCCCGTTGGCTGCCTCGGAGCCCCGACTCTGCACTGCTGCCCGCGCCATGCGTGGATGAAGGGAGGGCCTTGCCCGGCGACCAGCCAGACAGGTATCTGGGTGTGTGGTCGGGCTCAACGCGCTGCGCCACGCTGCGCCATGCTGTGACCCTGCAGATCATGCACAACCTGGACCGCGCCTGCGAGACCTTCTCCTTTGGCAGCGGCGGCGAGTCGGGTGAGAGGCGCCTGGCAGCCGGCAGGCCTGCCCCACCGAACCGTGATCCGAAAGGCTGGCCCCGCCTAGCCCAGCCCGGCATGGACGGAAGGGAGGGGTGCCTGCTGCACTGAGCATGATGCAGCTGCGTGATTGAGGTTGTGCCGGGGTCGGGAAGGCCGGCTGCATCTGCTGGCGGCCACCAAGTGTGCACCCCCAACGCCGTGAGCTCACCAAGGTGCCTGGCCCCTCTCCTGCTCCTCTCCTCCCTGCGCCGCCCCTCCTGCAGTGGTAGACTGCAAGGCCCTGCACAAGATGCCCTCCATTGCCTTCACTGTGGGCGGCAAGGAGTTTGTGCTGGGGCCGGAGCAGTACGTGCTCAAGGTGAGCGGTAACACCAAAACAGAAGAACTCCAAACAAACGCCGAGCGAGCGCGTGAACGTGGGCGGTGCATTATCAAGTGTGAGGAGCACAGCAAGCTAGTGTTGCCCAGCCTTTCATGGCGACTGCCCCCACGAAACGCACACCCTCTCCCCGTGGGCTTGCCCTGCTTGGTGTCGCCGCCCGCAGATCGGCAGCATGGGCGAGGAGCAGTGTGTGAGCGGGTTCATGGGCCTGGACATCCCGCCCCCGCTGGGCCCGCTGTGGATCCTGGGGGACATGTTCATCGGCCCCTACCACACCGGTGGGTGCCGCACTGCGGGGGCTGGCGCGCTGCGCTGTGATCCGCCAATTGTGCGCCACGCCGCGCTGCTCTGTGTCGGCGGGGAGTAGCTGCTGTGGATGCCACGCCTGGTGCCGCGTCCTGAGCGTAATCGGCGGTCTTGCGTTCGTGTGCACCTGCTTGCAGTTTTTGATTACGGCAATGAGCGCGTGGGCTTTGCCCAGGCCGCCTGAGGTTGCAGTTGCCAGCCGTCCATGCGGCGTGTGGCGCAAGTTGTGCTCTCTTCGGTCTGTACATTCATCTCCCTGCCGCCCTCTCCCTGCAATAGTGATGCATACATTTCACGCATGCCAGGCCCTTTTTCCTATGCCCGCACCCTCCTCGTGCGTGAGGAGCTGCTGTGAATGCATGCCCTCGTGGCGCCACCGTGGCGGGCAGGACACACGGGGCAAAATCTGCGCAAACTGGCGACCTACACACCTTCAACTCGTCAAGAACATGTCGTTGCGACTCGCCCCACTTGGAAACGGGCCAAAGAAGTGGTGTGTCGGAGGGGTCGTAGACGGGCGCTATTTCGGCTGGCTGTTGAACAGAAATTTCGGTGACGAGGAACTGCGCCGAAGTCTCCACTATGTCTATGAAGGGCCGGCACCTGAAGATGCTGCGCAGCCCGTCGAGCATGCGCAGCCCACCAACGCACGGGACCTCCTGCTGGACCTGACGATCAGGCTCAGGGAAGCATCCAAGCAGCAGGGTAGGCGGCCGACACTTGGGCTGCCGGCCGGCGGTGCACTGCCACCTGGCGAACTGGGGGAGGCCTGCCTTGCGCCTCTGCTGCAGTGGGCTGCTGTGTGTGTGTCTGTTGTATTCATAACCAGCAAGCGAATGCTACGGGCCCAAGTGTGGTGCATGCAGCCCATAGCGCATGGAGTGCATGCGCTTGGAGCAGTGGCGAACTGTGGTGTGCCTGGCTGTTTGCAGAGCACGTGACGAGGCTGCTGGCGCTGCTGGTGCTGGCTGTGGGAGTGGCCCGCCTGGATACCGTTGAGGCATATACGTTCCAAGATCCGGCGCTGCCGCTCGCCGTGGAGCAAGCAGATGCGGTCCCGGGCGCGGTGCTGGATCTGGCCGAGATGCTGCGCTGGGTGACAGTGGAGGAGCTGCCGGCGGCGATGCAGCTGGTGCGGCAGGTGGAAGTGAAGCGCGCTATGAGCGACCCCGCATCGGAGCTCGATGCAGGCGCGGGAGGTGCAGCCTCCGGGGATGTGCTTCCCCAACTTGTGCGCGCGACAGCAATGATTCTGGCCAGCCAGCTGGCGGCAGAGCTGCTGCTCACGTGGCTGACGCCAGAGCGGGACATCATGCCGGCAAAGCTGCAAAAGAACAAGGTGAGGGCCAGCATCTGCAGGCTCCTGCGGCTGCTGATTGTTCCTCGCTTTGGGTTGGAAGCAGGGCTGCCTTCTGAGGAGCTGGCTCCTGAGCTGCCCTCTGAGCTGCCCTCTGAGTTGCCATGCTGCAGGTGGCCAAGTCGCTGCTGCGTTGGGTCCAGGTTTACCCAAGCGGTTTGGATGTGGACCAGGTGCTGTCCCTGCACACCAGTGCAGTCGACGAGCTCGAGAAAGCAGATGTTGCAAGAACTCCTGTCAACCCCACCTTCCTGCATTGCGCGGTACAGCAGCGAGAGCAGGCCGTGAGCAGCCTGCACGTCGCCACGCCCTTCCTACTGGCAAACAACCGGCTGAAGTGCGACATGCTCCTGCGGTGCGGCTGGCGCGGCGCGGTGAAGCGTCTCTTAGGTGAGGGAGCGCGGCGGCGGCAGCCACAACCTGGCCGCTCGGCTCCAGCATCCATAGCATGTAGCTATGCCTGGCGGAAGGTCTTATGCAGCCCTTGGACCTGGTGACCCATCACGGTGCCGGGGTGTGCCCTTTGCAGATGAAGAGCTTGATACGACCCTTGGTGGATTCCTCGTCAGCAGCAGGGTCTGGTGTGCGGTGGTTGACGCAGGCGGTCCCAGTCGGAGTGAGGTGAGGGCACGGGTGCTAGCAGAGGTGCACCGGCGTCACACGCTGGCTGCCGCTGGCCGATGTTTGCTCAGCGCCATACATTAGCGCCATACGCACCACCCACACGCGCTGCCTGGCGCTCTCATCGCCGGGATCTGTGCTCTCCGCAGTTAATCGTGGCCTGGCACGACCTGGGGTGGTGGAAGCGCGTTTCAGCATACCTGTGCGCGTCTTACAAGAATGGCCAGGCGCTGGCGCTGGAGCAGGTTGCGGAGCTGGATGCTGCTTTTGAGGGCGAGGAACTGACGGATGAGAAGATGGCGGGGGTGCTGGCAATTCTGTCGGATGCCGACGGGGTGCCGGCAGGCATGAAGAAGGGGGAGGGCCCCCTGGATTTCAGGTATGGTTGGGACGCGGGGCTGGCCACAGCTGGGCGCAGCAGGGATGTGGAGGGGGCCGCCTGGGGCCTGGATATGGTGCAGGCAGGGCGCTGGCCCGCCTCCTCTGCTGGCCCTTGCCTGCAAGCCAGCTGCTGCAGCACCCCAACTTCTCCCCGCCGTGCCAACACATGTGTGCACGCACATCCCTCTCCTGCTGTGCAGCCTGGTGCCTCCTGCCGTTGTCTGGAAGGTGTACGAATACTTTGTCTTTGGGCAGCTGCCGCCCCTTCCTGCTGGCAGCACGGTGTGGGAGCACCTGTGCCCAAGAATGGAATATGTGTACAAGGTACTCAGTGGACTGCGCCCGCCCTGGTTTGCATGCTGAAAGCAAGGTGGAAGGCGGTGGGGATCGCATTGCTTGCTCAATTCCCACCTTGCTGCTCTGCAGGCAGCATTCTGGTGGGACGACGACGACCTGACGGCGCCTGTCGCTACGGGGGTGGCTGAGGCGGCAGTGGTTGTCCTGCACGAGGTGGCCGAGGTGCGGGGGAGAGCTTCTACTGGCGCTGCACATCTCATGTCAACTCATGCATGTTTTCATCAGGGATCGGCAGCTGCTGTTGCCTCGCCATCAGAGCAGGCTCGCCATCCCGCTTGGCCACAGTCGTGTCTGGCTTCCCTTGCAGGCCCTTTGCATCTGCCCAGACCCCTGCCCCTGCCTGCCGCAACTGGGCGAGTTTCTCTCCTTACTGGAGGAGCCGATGGGGTCCGAATTTTTCAGGCAACTCATTCGCAAGGTACAAACAGTGTAGTACTTGCTCAATCAGCTTCTGCAGCGCCGCCTGCCTCTCACACGGGATGTGCCTGCCTGCCAGCCTGCCTGCAGGTCGAGAGCCAGCGAGGGGGCGCGCTGCCTCATCGACTGCTGCTGGCCCTTCGGCGCGCTATGGTTGATACACAGCCTGCTAATCTGTCTGCGGCAGCTGGCGCGAGGCGCATGATTTGGTCATTGGCCACACTTGCAGTGCAGGCAGCAAAGGCCCTCGACAGGGTGAGGCGAGCTGATGCGTCATGCGGTCCCGCTGCCACCTGCAGTTGACCCAGGACCCTTGTGCTGGCTGTGACTCCCTGGTTTGCTGTTGCCTGCTGCTGGTGCAGGCCTCTCTGCTGTGCGAGATGCAGCAGGTTGCGGACTGGCAGAGCGAAGCCTTGCTTGCGAGGCAGAAGGCACGGTTAAATGCGAGGGCTGCCTGGCACTACTTGGACGCCGCCATCCAGCTCATGAAGCAGGAAATGACGTTCTCGAGGCCATTCGACGGCAGCAATGGCGCACCCCCGCCTACAAGCCACGAGGCAGCCCTGGGAATGTTGCGCATCGCGGTGCGCCACATGCCCGACAGCTTGCAGAAGGTGGCCTCAGCGTTGCAGAGCTTCGCCGGCTCACCCGACAGAGATGGCGCACTCGCCGAGGAGGTCTCGCTGGCGGCAAGCGAAGGCATGCCAGAACTGCTGCTACCCCTGGAGTGGGCAGGTGAGGTTGAGCTCAGGCCCTTTCAGGGATGAGCCCCTGCCTGTGCTCTGCCCTGCTTGCGCCCATGTTGGTTGCGGGCTTCACACATTTGGTGGGAATTGAATGTGCAGGCTGGGCGCTCAGCAGGCAGACACCTCCTGCCCACGAGGTGGCGGCACAGGAGCTGGAGCAATTGCCTGGCCCGGGTCTTGCAGCTCTGCAGGCAGTCCTGGCTGCTACCGCTGCGGGCGGGTTTCGTACAGCTCATGGTCCCGTGCTGCAAAGGACATTGGGTAAGCCTTGCTTATGGTCGTTGCCTATGCAGATCAGTGGCGAAACCGTGGGACTGCCAGTGGATGCTTCATCCGTTCAACTTGTAGGACACACCTTGGTCCCCTCCTCTTCCCTCCTCCCAATCTGCAGATGCCATAGCATTCCTGCTGAAGCAATTGCTGCTCCACCTCCACCTGCGTCAGCCAGATGATTGGCTTGTGGACTGCTGCACCTGCGCCCGGCAGCTGACGATAGAGCCTGACATCAATCGGCTCCCACAGGCTTCAGTCAAAATGCTACATTATCTTCACTCATGCACCCAATTGCCCCTAACGGTGAGCGGCAGCATTCTGTGGGTTCCTTCATAGGAGTATCGCTGTGCACAACGCGCTTGCCCTCTGGCTGTTTTCTGTGTGCCTGATGCACATCTTGTCAGAAGGGAGTGAGCATCTTCCGGCTTCAAGGCGTCAGCCTCCTGGCTCCTCATCTCCCTTCGTTCCTGGCTGCCCTGCAGCTCTCTGCAGCTGTCAACTCCAACCTCAATGAGCGCGCTGCCAGCGCTGTCGACGTGGATTCCCTGGGCAGGCTGCTGGATGTCTTCAGCAGCAACGAGCCAAGTCTGTTCCAGCCGGCAAGCGAGCTTGAGGAGAGCGGGGAGTTCACAGCAGAGCAGCAAGACCTTGCAGCGCAGCAGCACGCGGCCGCGGTGGCAGATCAGAGCAGGCCCACCACCAGGCGGGAACAGCTGCAGCAGAGGCTGAGGGCGCGCAGGGCGCAGCGGGAGAAGCAGTTGACGGGCCAGGCCGACCCAGAAGAGGAAGTACGTCGCCGTCTGCGGTTACAGGATGGAATGGACAGGAGTAATGAGACGCAGGTGGCCGACCATCTGGCTCAGGAGCTGCTGGAGGAGGAGGAGGCGGCTGCGGCTGCCGCGGCAGCAAGGGCTGCGAAGAAAGCAGCCAAGAGGCAGCGCCAGAAGCAGCGCAAGAAGCAGGGGGGAGCGGCAGCGCAGCGCGGCAGCACGCAGGAAGAGCCGCCGCAGCAGCAGCAGCAGCAACAGCCGCAGCCAGAGCAGCAGGGGCAGCAGGCGCAGGCTGGCCCAGCAACCCCAGTCCTGCTGCAGCCGTCGCTGTCAGCAGCGCCTGTTGCGGATGCAAGCCCACCAGCGGCAGGCACCGCTGGCCCGGGCGATGAAGAGCCTGAGGATGAGGCGCCATGGCAGACCATGGTGGCTGGCAGGACCAGCGCAGAAGCCCGCACCCTGCAGCCTGCTGGCCTGGAGCGACGTCCACAGCAGCAGCAGCCGCCGAGGGTGCAGCAGCAGCAGGCCGCCAGGCAGCAACAGCAGCAGCAGCAGGTGCGGCCAGGTGCTGAGCAGGATGAAGTGGAGCTGTGGAGCCTGCTGGCTCAGCTCGGGCTGGAGGGCGACTCTCAGGCTGGCAGGAGTGCAGCTGCTGCGGCGGGAGGGCCCAGCAGCTCCCGCCCAGCTACGGGCGGAGCCTGGCCCGCGCCTGCAGCTGTCCCTTTGGCAGCTCCCACAACCCCGGTGCTGGTGCCGCCGGTGCCGCTGCCAGCAGCACCGGCTGCGGCGGGCGCTGCACCTGAGCGGCAGCAGCAGCCGGAGATGCCGCCTGCCATCCACAAGGCCCTTCAGGAGCTGGTCCGGCTCCTGGAGTGCCCACTGGGCCTGGTGCGCGCCTGTTGTGCCTGTTGCGCACGAGCCTGTGTGTGTGGTCCCTTGCGGGCAGGACAGTCGGCGTACTGCTGCTGTGCATGCCTACGGCTGAGCATGATTGTGCAGGCTATGGTGGACCACCACCTCCGCGCTCCAGCCCTTGGAAGCCCCGCCGGCCGCCCGCCTCGGCTGCAGCCCACTGCCACCCGCTGCTGCCGCCGCCTGTGTTGCAGGAGACCCTGACCGACCCGGTGCTTGCGGCAGACGGCCACGTGTATGACCGGCCACACATCGAGGCCAGCTTGCGGCGGCACGCGGCCACCAGCCCTCTGACGGGAGCCGCCATGCCGGATGCCAGCCTGCGGGAGGTGCGGCTGGTGCGGGAGATCATTGAGCTGTTCCGCAGTGCTGCTCCTGACTACTTTTTTGATGACTGAAGCAGGCAGCATGTTAGTTCACAAGGCCCATGGCGCGGCGGCTTTGCCGCCCGCGCGTGGTGCCCGCCTAGCGCCTCTGCCGCTCAGAGCTAGCCAATTTTGCATCGTGCCGTTCGGCACCTTCTGCTGAGACCCAACATAGCATTGAGAAGAAGAAGAAGCAGGCAGCGGCCGAAAGCTGCAAGCGGCAGCTGCAGGCGGCCAGCCGGTGGCAGGCAGGCGGTGGCAGGCAGGCAGACGGCGGCAGTGGGGCGCTGCCCGCCATTTTCCAAAGGGCGGTGGTGCGGGGCAAAGCGCAGCAGGTCTCCTGAGGATCGGGCTCACAGCAGGCGTGGTGTACCTCACGCGGCCCGTACCGGCCAGCAGCAGCGGCGGGACGGCGTGCGCTGGCGGCCAGCCTGGAGCCCCCTGAGGAGGTGGCGGCTGCACGATCTCGACTGACTTGGACCTCTGTTTCACTTTGTTGTTATACTCAGTCATGCGCCCCGCGTATTCTCTTCTTCTCTTCTCAGCGGCTGTAACGGCGGCGCCGGCGCAGGTGGCGGGGAGGCGGGCAGCCGCGGCCAAGCGGCGGCGGCTGATCGATCCAGGCTGACCTTCACCTATGTTCCCCCTCGTTTTACACACGGGATCCAGGGGCTTGGAACCCAGTTTCCTCCCAGTACGGCCCAAGAACAAATCCCGCGTCCCGCGGATTCTATCCTTCTCCTCTTCTTCGTCTTCTTACTCTCGGGAAGCACAGGAGCTGCGCTGAGCTGGCGGCAGAGGTGTGATGACCTCAGGACCTGCTCCAATCAGGGCCAGCCGCAGGCGGCTGCTGTTTGCGGCCTGCCTGGCGCTTGCATGGGCCTGCAGCATGCCGGTGAGCGCTGCGCGCTGCGGAGGACAGCAGGGTTCCTGGGGGTGGGCGGAGGGCGTCCCGCTGGCGGCTGCGGCGCGGCACGCATGTGACCTGCAGCATGCATGTGACCGGTGGGAAATTCACGTTGCAGCGACCTCAGTTCTGACTTTGTGCGCTTGTTGCTTCTGCAGATGGCTGATGCTGTCTCCAGGCCCCCTTCGCCTCGTCCTCCAAAGCCCAAACCGCCAAAACCAAAACCACCTACTCCTCCAAAACCTCCAAAACCTCGGCCGCCTCCTAGCCCGCGCCCGCCACCCCGCCCTCGCCCGCCACCCGCCCCTCCCCCTCCAGAGTGCGTTGGCACAGGCCGGCGTGGGGGTGCAGCGCTGCACGCTGCGTCGGATGCAATCCTTTGGGTGCAAGGGAAGGCGGCACCTCGCCTGCTCACATCCCTGCCTGCACCTGCTTGACCGTGTGCTCCTGCAGCCCTGTGGCAAACGGCGAGGCGTGCACCACCGATGCGATGTGCCTCAGCGGCGTGTGCAACTCCAACGAAATATGTGGCCTGCTGGACGGCAGCCCCTGCACGGACGACATTGGGAACCCGTTGGACGGCGCATGTGCCAGCGGGCAGTGCAACTACGTGTCCAGCCTCTCCGACTTCAGATGCGGCAAGCTGGCGGGCGGCGAGCCTGTGTTACAGTCACCCCGCTATGATAGGCCGCGTGAGCAGACCTTGGGCAGGGGGCACACGTGATCAAGGGGCATCAAGAGAGGGGGTGGACCATGGAGCACCCTCTCCATGGCTCCGACCACCCTCCCCCCAGCTGAGCGTCCCAGGGTCACCCCACCCTGGCCCCGCTCCCCGTCCTGCCGGACACGCAACCCCCACAACGTGGTGGGGGACGTGGGGATCCTTAGCAGCTTAGGCCTGCCAGGCCGACGGGTGCCGATGCTGGTGCGGGCTCCCGGCGGCAGGCAGCGCCGCCGCCGGGCACTCAAATGGCATGGGGCACATGGGCCCCCATGCCCGCACATCTCCCAGGCACATGAAAATACCAGAAGGCTGCACATGTAAGGGTGCATGCATTGCAGGCAGGAGTGCAAAGTGGCCTGCCGCGGCGGTCGGCTGTGCCTATTACTCAGTCAGCTCGCTCGCTATCTG